CATATCCAAGCGCAGCTAATACTGAACACCCTGCAGGCAACTCCACATTTCCTTGCGTCTCACAACCAGGTTGATGTGTCAGGCACTTACTCTTTTACTGAACTCTTTATTAATAATAAGAAATGAGCTGTATAGTATTTATTTTGAAATTATGACCTATAGGAATATGAATTACTTTATAAATGAGCAATATATAAAGATGTGATTATTTTTAATATATTAGCTTTGTCATTCACAAAGGGTTTTTTTCCTGAGTAAAGTGCAAATTAACAAATTCTTTTTCTATTAATTTGATTATTTTTCTGGTTACCCCACTCCCAACGTAATTATTTACCAAAGAGAGAACTGCAAGTAAATTGCAGCACTTTACAGCAAAGGAAGCATTAACGTAGATTGTGTACGTTCCTTACAAATGGAAACAATAGCATCTGATGATAGAATACAATTTATCAGGCATAGTTACATAGCACTAAGCAAGCCTGTTTTCCCCACGTAGGCACATCAGAGAGCTCTAACATGTAAATACATAGGAGAAACAGTTCAGATTAGAAATGACATTTTGCGTATCCAGTTCAGGTGTCTCTTCTGTGAGATGAGAGATCTAATTTGCCACTTTGCATACAGATACTGAGCACTAAGAAAAACCTCTCTCGTGCAGAAAGATCAGGTGCTTATATTTGCACTCATATACATGATCATTCATATGGTACAAGCTGATGTATATTTCTAATTTTATAAATTACAAAGTAGCACTTTTTAGGCTACCGATGTAGCCAGGTAATTTCCTTAAATATCCGTATCATTGCTGCATTGGTACATGATGTCAAGACCGACACCATGTAACTGCGTATTTTTTCTTTAACAGAAAACCAGTACCTCATTTAAGTTTGTTGCAGCTGAGAACTAGGATGCATTACCAGGAAATACAAGACAAATCTTTATACAATACATGCAGAAAGCAGGTTACTAAATTGTACTAAACTCTCTGCTAATTGACCATGCCAGGTACGCTTTAATTGTTTCAGAAATGTTTATATTTTGGCTATATACTGTATTATGTAAAATACAGCCATATTGTGTCTAAATTCAGATCAAAGCTATTGTATTCTTTATGGTTTAGAAGCCATCCTAGAAAAAAACCCTAACATTTAATAAATGAACATTAGACATTTTAACTTTATAAATTTTTCATCATTAATTCATGTCCAGAAGATAAAGGAGCTTGCCAGGGGTTATTGTATGGCAATATCAAACACGAAGTATTTAAACCTGTAGAACTGTCTGCCAAGGACACCGGCAGGGCTGCTGCAGTAGCGCATTCCATCAAAGCAGGGTCTCACACAAATGGAACTGGAACAGTAGGACCAGAGATGGCATTCCTAGCAAAGAAGGGCAAGAAAACATCGATCTATGGCTATTTCAAGGTCTTGTATAAACTACTGCAGGGCTGGGGCAGGGGGAAAATAAGACATGACTAAGCTTTTTATTTTTCTTAGATTTTTTATTAATGGACTTAGGGAAATAAATTCTCTTTATAGTAAATGCTAAGACAGTAGAAATAGAGTTTGACTGCGTACATTTCACATCAAATGAAAAGCGAAGGGGTTTATGCTAGGCATACATCTATATGAAACCAGGGCTTCTAATTTCACTGTTCATAGAACTAGTGTTTAGTCTGAGCTGATTTTAACCCATCTTTTCATCTCGCAATGCTAACTGGCCCACAGCTCACTAGCGAAGATTTTGATCCCTCTGTGCACTTTAACAGCTCAACTTGGAACCCGCTTTGTTACCTCCTTACCTTACTATTAAGCAAGAAAATAACCATTATAAATGTGAAATTGAATTGCAGTTCTGAACAAAGTATACACTATTTCAGAGATTCCCACGGAAGCACCAGTTCAGGGTTTTCTTTTTTCCCCATCCCTTTCCTAAGCAAGCAGAATTCTCATAAGATTAATAGGAAAAAAAAAAAAAGAAAGAGGACAGAGCAAAAGGCACGCAGAGATCAGAGAAGATGCAGGAAAGGAAAGTGGTTGTGCAGCCCGTGTGCAACCTTTCGCTTTCTGAGATACTTTGGGTGGAAGTTCCTCTGATTCTGATTTGTGCAATACAGGAACTTGAAAGGATTCCTGTTTCTGAATTGACGCTAATGTGCTGTCTAAAGGAGTGTGGAGAGCAATAATATCATTCAGTACTTAAACAGCAGTCAGGAATACAAGCCTTTTGGCGCTCCGTAAGTTCCAGATGCTACATCTATTCTCTGGGACAAGGGAAAAAAGGTGTTAGCAAATTGCTGTCAAAATAAATATGGAGGATGTGGTAAATCTCCCCTAGGATAAAATAAAGATGGTGATGAATGCTCTTATCTGATTCAGGATTTTAATTACATCCTATTTCTTTGGTTTTCAAGGAAGAAAAGCTTCTGAAAACACTTGTGCAGCACGGGGTCCGCAGTGGAAAAACTGCCAGTCTGGAAATGGAAGTGGACGAGCTGCCCTTCTACAACACCCACTCGCTTATGATTGAAAAGCTGCTGCAAGAAGCACAGCAGTGACTGTTCCAACGATTTCTATATGCAGCGTTGCTCTCCCATATTGTTTCCTTATTGTCTAGGCTCTCACAAGGTATAAATGATCAGAAAAAGCTGACTTTTCATCTCTGGTATCTTGGCCGTGCACAGCCTTTCATTGTCACCCTTACACCATCTCTGTGAAGCGGGAAGGGGATGTCGTCACGGTGATTTGGGCTGCCTTTCTTTTCTGTAATTTTGTAACAGATAATGGATATTAAATGGTATTATGTAGTAAGAGGTGATCTGGATTTTACAAAGCAAGCTTATCATTAAAATGAAGTATTCTTGCATGGCTGTTCCTGTTTTACTAACCTCATAGCTGCAACAGGAAGTAACTCTTGTAGCAACTTGGATTTAAAAATACCTTGTGGTGGGGAAAACAGCTGCAGTGGAGAGGGGTGGTTCAGAACAACAACCAAAAAATGCCAGCGCGTGTTACAGTAGTTAAAGTTGTTAACTACAACTCCCTCGCCCGGTTCCTGTAGCCCCTCCAGCACTGCCTTCGTACGGAGGCAGGCAGTCTGTGGACGTGTGAGGAGGCAAGGGGCAAGCTTTAACTGAGCTGATGAACACAAGGGCAGGGTCGCAGACCTTCCGCGTAAAGGGCAGGCTGTGCCATTTGCCTCCTTCCTATTAGCAGTTTGCCATTTATATAATTTGTCCCTTTTCTGGGTAATACAGAAAGGTTGTAGATGTTTCAGGGTATCCTGTTGTTAAGAATAAAAGAGTTAAATACATAAATAGTGCTTAAAATTAATGCTTGGAAATTAAAGCATGATTAGAAATTTAAAAACATTTGCATTCAGGATGAAATAAAATTATGTAAATGAACATTTAGATGAACTCCAGGTATAGAAATTCAGCTCCTGACGAGACTTCGTGAAGCAAGATTAAATTATATCTCAAAGGCCTACTAATGCTGAACCAGTACCTGACAGGCAGTTGTGAGTTGTGCCTGACTTGGGTCATTTTAAAGGTGTGATTTTCCTGTAGCTGCCTCCGGATGAGCATCAGGGCTGAAGTTCTGCGAGCGGTCAGCCCCCACAGCGGAGAGGACAGGGTTTGACACTGCGCCTCTCAGGCACTGATGCTTTAGCTGTCATAAAATGATTGTAACGGTACAAAAGGCGAGCACCCAACCATTGCGCTTTATCCGGATGAGGATGGCGGTTGAGTTTAGCCACCGCTTCTTCCAAAGGACAGTGGACTTCCAGCAGCCAGCAACACCTTGCATCTGCTTTTCCTTCTGGCAGGTGAGTTTTATTTTCCTTCTCATATGTAAGACAAACACGTCACTTTTTGAGAATGAGAAAAATCACTTCGTACCACAAACACTCATGTACTTTGAACGTTAAATCTTCTGAAGTCCTTGAGGACACACAGCCCTTAAAGACTTAAAACAGTTGAACACGTGTGAGAGAAAGAAGTCTTAATGCCAGACTTGCTGCTAGACATTCAGATTCACCGAAGCTCGCAATGTTTATTTTATGGATCAGTCATTTTTTTAGATTCATTTTTAAGCCTTTGAAGAATGTTGCAGTGAAACTATCTTTGAAGCTTCACAATAGAAAATAGCTCCTTTAGAAGTCTCCAAACTCTCAAACTATAACTATTAAGTAACCTAATTCATATGAATGCTTGAGCTGTTTGCCAAAGCCAGCAACCCCGCAGGATGGCATATGCTCACTGCTGCACAGAACCCACAAAATGAAATTGGCATCATTTAAAAATGCCTGTTTGGGAAAAGAGGCGGCTCATTTCCTTCTCTGCGTGCTATGTGCTCTGCAGCTTACTGACATACTACACTAACAGGTGCAATGCATATTATTCTTTCCAAACACTAACTTTTGTCAAAAAACCTTTTCTTTAGTAAGCTTTTGCTCTTCTTTCCCCAAAATACAAGTTTTAACGGTCAAATTTCATTCAGAAATATAAAATGTAATAATATATTTATGTTTTTCTCTAATGTCTGTTTTTAAAATCCCTTCTCGTGTGAAGTCCCAAGCGCTGTATTTAATGCAAAAGCAATACGTAGCATATCTCTAGCAACGATAGTAAGGACCCTTGATCGACTATGTTCTGGCTGAGATGGAAAGAAAAGCTCCGAGTGAGAGTTGCCTTCCTCCCGTATTGGTTACAGCTCTGCAGCCTAAGCCTAACAGTTACAATATAGAAAGAATTGATAAAATGGCGACTTCAGGGTGGAAAAAAAAAAGAAGAAAGAAAAAATCCCCCCCTTCTCTTGCGGGTTAGCAGGTTAAATGTTGAGAACTGCAGCAGAATGCTGGACCCCATGACACAAGTTTCCATCTGATTTTAAGCTGCATCAGCTGACCAAAAGCTGACCACATCAAAGTACCAACTCCAATAAAACTTAATCCCTCAGACGACAATTCCATGTAATGTGGCATGCTCTGCGTTCCAGCTGCCTAATCTAAACAACATGGGTAACTGTAAAGAAGTAAAGCATAAACAGGACAACAAATATTTCATCCTAGAACAAACCGCCTGTGTGTCTTACAGCCTGCCAGGTCACGGGAGTCCAAGCAGTTGGCTCAGTGCGTAACAACGTACAAGCACGGCATTATGGCAGTCAGGAGTCCCTGCCTTACGGGCGCGTTGATAGAGGCAGCAGAGACTGAAGATTAGGAGAAAGTAAAGCTAAACAGCACTAATAGTCAGAAGACAAAAATGCATTTATAAGGTAATTAATCCAGCTTGGTGAGCGGTCTATGTATAAAGAAATGTAAAATAATTAAACAAACCAAATGTTAACCTAAGCAAACCTAATCCCCTCCTGGGAGTGGGGGCATGAATCCTTTCTGCAAGAGGAGGGAGGAGAGGATCTGCAGTCTCACAAATAGAAACTGTGGGCCAAAGCCATAAGATAGTTATTTCAAACACAGAGTGAACAAATATAGGAAGAAAATAATAAAAACATTCTTTATTAAACACATCCCCTAATTATTTCTAATATTGCACTCTCAAGGTGGTTTCCAGAAAACTGTTCTTATATATTGCCTTTTAGAAACCTCTGACAAGCACGGCTGTGTTACAATGACATACTTCAGATACCAGGAGTAGACCATCTGTCTAGAGAATCTTTTGACATTTAAAAAAAAAAAAAGAAACAAACCTGATTATCCTGCTGGAACTTATCAGCTCCAGGTTGCAGAGAGAGAAGTGTTTCAAGAAAAGTTTGAAACCAGGGAAATGAAAGGGCAAGGCAATATTCATGGCATAACCGTTACAAGAAGGTGTGATGAGCAGACCACAAAGCATCACCATACAGGATTCATTAGCATAATAAAGAAGAAAAAAAAACTTAGAGAGGAGCTGGTGGTAGAAACAATACTACAGAGTGTAACTCCCACATCTTTAACTGACGCTATCTCCACTTATTCCTGTATTTTGTTTCTGTCTAAACCATAGATCATTCTGTCTAAAACACAGATAATTTAAAACATTGTATTTCTGATATTGTATTTACTGAACAATGACCAAAACCTAACCTATGGTATCTGTGGGAGAAAACAGAGTTTAAACAGAATGCATTTAACGGTTTCCCTGACAAACGCATTGTTATTTAATTGCCTGCATGGTCTATGCTGCACAAGATGCACAAATTGCGAAGGACGCGATCCAAACCTTAGCAAGGTTTAGTAGAATTTAGACTAAATTGGTCTTTGAACACGGTGACTCAGATAAGCACACGGGTTCAAAGCGCCTCATATGCTACCGTCCTCCCGTTCTTTTCCAAGTCAACAAACCAAATAGTCCTCATTGGAGCCAAGTACCTCTGGAAGTCAAGAGAAGCCTTATGATGAGGTTCAACAGTCTCAGATTTGACAGTCAATCAACAGATTGAAGGTCTCAGCAGATGCTGAGTTCCTTGCGCATGTTCTCCCAGAACATCTGATGTCATTGGATTGGTTGTTTTAGGAGGTTGGTTCTGGCAAGTTCTCTGCAGTTCTTGAAACTGGCTGAAAGAGAAGTCACTTCAGAGACATACAGAAATGTTGCAGAAATGCATTTTTTTTTTCTTTTTTCTTTTTAAAAGTACATATGGGGACATTTAATTTGTTCTGTCTCCAACCTTTTCAACAGATGATGACAGCTTGTAGAGGATTATTTTTCTCTAGATGCTACAGGGGCACACAGAAAGCAGTTTAAAGACGAATTCAACAGAAGCACAGACCAAGAGTACTAGCTTATTCTGGTCAACACAGTCATCAAGACAACAGGTTTTGAGCTGCACCACAATGATAACAGACACATAATAGTAACTGAACTGACTCAGCATGTGCTTTCCTCACTATTGCCAAGGTCCAAGCACCTCCAGGAACTACCTCACTGCACTGCACTGCTAATAAGCCTTTGGGAGGTAACACAGTTGTAATACATGGCTGAATCAGATGGATACACAAATGCGGCCATAGATGCAGATTTTAGATTAATGTCCTTTTTTTGATGAATGCTATAGGCTGCCCGTGTTAGTTGTGGAGGAGTCCTTTATTCCAGTTCTGCCATGTGATTTTTGTAATAACCCTGGCTGTTGCTCATGCTGTGGCCTGTTGGGAGTTTCTGGAGGATTCAGTGGATAGGATTCCTTTGTCTCAGTCCTCAGACACCCTAAACATGCTAAACAAAAGTCTCGCATCTTGGCAAAGTTCTGGTAAGTGCTTTCACTGGAAAAACAGTACAACACTGGATCAGCAACACAGTTAAAAGTAGTCAACAGGAGAGAAATATGGTAAATATTAAATATTTTGTCAGCAAACGAGCAGTTGTTCTCCAACAAGCTGCGAACCACAAGTAGAATGTGGTATGGTCCAAAGCAAACTAAAAAAATTAAAACAGTGCTGGAAACCAATCGTTTAATTTGGATTTTCTTCTTCTTTTGAGTGCCGTGACTCTTGTGGACAACTCGTAAAATCCCACAGTAAGAGAAGGCCAGCAGAAAGAAGGGAAAAAGGAAGCCAGCAGAGAAGCGGTAGTAATTGACGTTGTGCTCCCATTCTTTGATGGGGTAATGCTCAAAGCACACCATGTGGCTCTCGGCATCCCTACTGATCTCTCCATGCATAAAGACAAAGCAGCATGTGATTATTTCTTTGGTCCAGATAATGATGCTCGCAATCACAGCAGCCTTCATTGTCCGAAACTGTTGAAACCGAAAAGGGTGCACTACTGCGAGATAGCGGTCAATGGAGATGCAGCAGAGGAAGCCCACACTGATATAGATATTCTCATACAAGAGGGTGCCACAGATTTTGCACAGCAGCTCATTGTAGGTCCAGTTGTCATGCTGTAAAACATACTGAAGCCAAAAAGGCAAAGAAAATATGTAGAGCAGGTCTGCTACAGTCAAATTGCAAAGGTAGATGCCCAATTCATTTTTAGCCTTGATCTGTAAGTACCCATAGTACAGTGACAGGCAGTTAGCTGGCAAACCTAATATAAATACAAATATGTATACCACAGGGGATAATGTCTGGTGGATATCATGGTTAATACTGCAGTTCACAGCTGCAGTCTCTGTGAGATTCATCATCTTCCACGTCTCCCTGTACCTCATTCATCAGGGTCCTGGATGGATGCAAAATTTAATTTCATCCAGTTTCACATATCACTTCTTTCTTCCACAGAACCTTTAGGCTGAAGCAATGACTTGCTGCAGGATGTTAATAACCTGAAGGTAAAACACAGGAAAATTTTCAGAAGGGATACAATTGTCAAATATATAGTATGGTTTTCAGTAAGCTGCCTTTTCCTAGCCTAAATTTTGTCACAGTCTTTGATAGATGACAAAGCCTGGCTGGGAAATCATGATTCATATGAATGAGTCCTAGTACTGAAAATTTTGTGTCCAAGAATTCCAAAGCAATCTACAAACATTTGTCTTTTCAGTTTTACGAGTATCTAAAAGGTGAAGAAATATCACCTCTGTGTTACAGATGAGGCACAAAAGCAGTAATCTGATTTGTCCAAGATGGAAAAAATGTCTCTGGCAACCCAGCAGTCCACTCAGACTTCCTTAGAGAATGCAGGGTGCACAAAACAGTTGATTTTTAATTTCCATTTCTTACATTCCGTTTAGATACAAGATACCATGGAATATGCAGTTCAACCCATCAGGATGAAAAAACCAGAATTTTTAGCAGTCTCTCGTACAGTTACTTGTAGGCACAATCCTGAAAGCAAGCTGTCTTTCTCTGTCGGAAGGACACAGTAAAAATCCAGTACGATGTATCCGCATGGTCTCAGTCCTACAGGATATGCCATTACAGATTGCAAATTTGCCATTGACTCTCAAAAACGCTCCTTTACTGTTACTATCCATGCATTTGTTTCTTTTCATCTTCATTGAATATGAATATAATTGTTTTCACCTGAAGAACCCTCTATAATCCACATACCCATACAAACCATTCCTATACTATACTACTACTATTTAAGACACATAAAAATAACTGCTGACAACAGGTTAGCACTCAGTTTAACTAGGACAAGTGTTCAGCCTTGAGCCAGCTCATAGTGATTAAACCCTTGACTAAATGAAGCACCACATTCAGCATTTTATCACCTCATGTGATATATATCCATTGGCACAATTGCTCGGGACTGGAAAACAGCGGAGCAAACCATGCCCAGTCTGAAGGGGATGTGTGTTTTACCTGATGTTGTAGAACAGCAAGACTATTTCTTTCAATCTCTTCCCAGAAAATGCATGATTGTAGTGGATATTTTTGTAAGGTTAACAATTTGTGCACTCTACCTACAGCTTCAGTTAATACGGATTCAAAAGGAGACAGCGCTATCAGGGACAAAGATAAGGCCTTGTTACTTTTTCCTGTTTACTATCCTAATTTATATTTTTGTCATCACCTTCTGTCCTGTCTAGGAACACAGTTTTTTTCCAAGGCAACACTTATGAAAATATGATTATGCTGCAGTAAAATTACTGTCAGCTGCAGCATTTGAGGATGTTACTGACAAATAATTTTTTTTTTTTAATAAATGTTTTTTTTAAATTGTGGTGGGCTTTTACTCCTGTGGAAATTGAAAAGAAAATCACTTCTTTGGGGCAAAAAAAGAATTGCCTGGCTGAACTAAGTGGCCAAACCTGCAGACTTTCAGTGTTTAGCTTCAACCAGTGTAGCACAGCCCCACAGAAATCACAACAAACGTAAGGACACATGTAAATATTTAAGAATTAGAATGCGGTTTTCATTCCTTCGCTTTTCCTCTTTTTCTTACCAACAGACAGAACATCAGCCCTGGTTTTGGTGGAAGTATTCTCGGGGAATCTCAGATATATTCAGTCATGAAACAACAGGCCAACATAAGCTCATCTCTCTCAAAACTTCTAACTTCATTGTCTAGTGCAACTCGTATGAAAGTCCAGTCAAACCTAGCGCAGCGCAGGCTCTGCTCCCCTCCTCTCACTCTCACACAGCACCTTTGGGGGGTCAAGAGACTCACCCCTTCTGCTGCGGGTGGCACAATAGTTACAGCGGGTAAATCAAGCACAGCGGGAGAAATGCTGCTTTAAGGCACCCGGTCACAGGTACCTATGGTTCAATTTGAAGTTTGCTCCAGGAGACTGCCATAACCTTCCCACGGAATAACGACGATAATGTTAGCAGCACAGATGTGTGCAACAGAATACCCCTGAAGTCAGGTATTAATTTCCCAAAGAACTGTTACTTAGGGGCCATTAGCTCTCCTGTAACACTACCCAGTTTCTCAATGGCTTCATGCAGCTCTTCTGTCCACAGGAGACCTGGCTCCACACCCTCAAGGACAGTGCACACAGTCTTTGCTGAGGCAGGTTTGATAACCTACTTACCCCACCCTGCCTTTCCCAGTCCAGAGCTCCAGGCCAAGTACAATTGTATTTGAGTTTGTATTTTATACCATTTCACCCCTGTGTAATAATTTGGTGACTTTTGCATGTAAGAGTTTGCCTGCACAGGATGATTGGCACACCTAGTTATAGTCTAAAATGCCTAAAAATCTGGGGTCTATAATCTGATCTACTAACTAAAAGCATCTGGTCAGTGTCCAGCTCCTGTTGATGAGGCCAAACAGAATTTCAAACAGGACAATTCTGAAAAGCCAGAACTGTCTGTGTATGTCTAGCATAGTTCAACAGCGCTGGGTTTCATTCAGTGTTACCCAGCAAGTCAATCTGGATCACTGTGTGAGAAAAAGCAGATGTACTCCACGGTTGCACTGTTTTTTGAAAATGTTTCTTTTCCTCTATGAACTCAAAATGTTTTTATTAAGTTATGTTTATGTCACCGAGAACACAATTACAAAAACCATTTCTGTTTAGCTTGAAGGCCTTGCCAGAATGCAGAACGTGAAGGAGACAGCAGAAGTCTTATTGATAGGGCATTATGCTAATGTAGGATACATTTCCTGCTCCTGGAGGAAGTGCAGGAGTGGGCTGTTCCAGGGGGCAGGAAGAGAAGGCTGGCTGCTACGAATCTCTTTGCCTTGTGCTAACAAACCCTCCTTGATTTCAAAGATGGGGTTGAAAACCAAAGGCCCAGGCTCCTGTGTGTGCAGTAGCTGTCTCACACTGCTCTTCTGGCCCGTGGCAGCCGTGAGCCAGGGAATCCTTCCCTCGTTTCAGCCTCCTCAGCGCCTGGGCTCTGGGACACCTTTGTGCCGTCTGACTCCTCATGCCTGGCCAGTGACAGGCTCAGTAGCCAAATGGGAAATGCAAAGGTAGTTCACCTTGCCCCTAGCACCACGTATACTACACATAGCTCCGTGCCCACCAGGGATTAGAACTCTGATTTTTCAACAAACCTGGTATGAAAGTACTGCAGTGGCAGCGGTAAACAAATGGGTGTGGAAGAGCCCACCCTGTTATTAAGAACATAACACACAATGTCTTACAAGCTGGCTGGAAAAGTGGAAACCGAAGGAAAGGTGATGCAGGGTATGGAAGAGAAAAGCCAAATAACTCTCCCATTACTTACTGACCTTGTCTGGATAGGAGAAGGAGAGAAATGAAAAAAGCTGCTGTATGAAAAACATCTGGGGTGCAGTTAGTCATAAAGCTGAAAGCAGTTATGGACGGGAACACACAGGCATTCCTTTTAGACAGCTTTAATATGGAAATAGTGCAGCTGTGTGATTTTTTAGAGCATAGTTTATGTAACACCTTCAGTATCATGAGTCTGCAGACGTTTCCAGGCAAAATTTCTCTCTCATATATGCCCACATCTTTTAGATGTTACCCATCTAAGCCCAAGTCTTGGAAACAAATTAAAAGACTCTTGCCATCTACATGGGCTCCAAACAATTCTCTTGTTCCTGGGTTAAAGGAACAAGAAGCCAAGGATCCCTGGGCTTCGGAGAGCTTTGCTTTTTCTCGGTTTAAACGAGCCAACTTTCATTACTCACTGGACAGTTCAACAACAGGTTCTTTTCTTTCCCAACTCCTTTGTGCCTTAGCTGTTGACAAAAACATGAGTCCCCCCTGCACCGCGAACCATGGAGCAGCTCACGTGTTCAGCACTGTCTGCTGGCGACAGCACAGGAAATAGCTCGGAGCCACTTACAGCAGCAGCCTCTTCAGCTTGGACCGAGTACTAGCATGGAGCCTGGGTGGGTTTTTTTCCATTTCAGTGAACATCGCTACAGTTTTCCTCGTAAGAAATCTGCCTGCAATTAGACCCGCGTATTTTTAGCAGAGACAAATGGGACTACACCAAAGGACTCCCTTGTCGGAAGACGTAATAGTTGTGCATGCAGCTTGCCTCATCCACAAAGCACTCATTTCCACAAACAGGGAGCATAAAGTGGTCATGTGCCTTATGTCACAGTTGCTCCCTTGCTGTTTAATCTGTCCCTGCACCTGTCACACACCGCAGATGAGCCTGAGTCACTTGGCTGCCATAGCAGGACTTGAACTGTGCTGCGTATCGTGGAACCAGAAACCTGGGGCTGTTTCAGTTTAGGATTTGGTTCAGATCATCACCTACACAAACATCAGCCCTTAAATTCACACCCTAAGCTTCCCCCAACGCTTGAGGGTTTGTCAGCTTGGTTTGATCCTGTTTCACAAAGCCTGGAAGAATAAGGTCAGGCAAAGAGGCTGGGAAGTGATGACCAGCAGAAGACACTAGGGACTGGTCAAACAACATAAAATGGGCAGAAACTGGGTAATATCCTTAGAGCAACTTTGGGGAAAAAAAAATGTAGAAGAAAGTGGAAATCGGGGTGTGTGACTGAGTATGAGGAAATGGCACAATGATGTTTGGATTCAATCGGAAGACCTATGATGTAAAAGATGGAGTGGGTCCAGAGGAGGGCCACAAAAATGGTCAGAGGGAGGGAACACCTCTCCTGAGAGAGTTGGGCTTGTTCAGCCTGGAGAAGAGAAGGCTGCGGGGAGACCTGATTGCGGCCTGTCAGTACTTAAAGCAGGCTTATAAGAAGCAGACTTCTTAGCAGGGCTTGTTGTGATATGACAAGGGGTAATGGTTTAAACTAAAAGAGGGTAGATTTAGACTGGATATAAGGAAGACTTTTTTTACAATGAGGGTGGTGAAATGCTGGCGCAGGTTGCCCAGAGAGGTGGTAGAGGCCGCATCCCTGGACATATTCAAGGTCAGCCTGGATGGGGCTCTGAGCAACCTGATCTGGTTGAAGACGTCCCTGCTCATTGCA